ACCTTACCTCTTACCTACAAAACAATGTTATAACTGCTGTCGTTTTGGTCATGTTAAGTCTAAATGCAGATCTAAGCCTCGTTGTTATAAATGTGGACAACCTCATGATGGAGAATCATGTGAAGTTACCTCGGTCACATGTCTTCACTGTTCTGGTAATCATGCAGCTATTAGTTCATACTGTCCAGAATTTAATAGACATACATCTATTAAAGTAATTATGTCCCAAGAACATATCTCTTATGATGAAGCATCTGTAAGAGTTCGCCCATCAAAACGAGCCTATTCAGATGTTGCAAGCAAAACTCCTTTAAATACATTTCCTCATACTAGTAATAAGAATTCATATAAAAAAACTTTCTATATAAATAGGAAACCACGTTCTCCAGCATCCGATCATGGGTATGACCATACAGCCCATGAATCCATGATCTAAACCCCAAGAAGTTCTCTTCCTAATGGAAGTGCTTACCCTAAAGATAATGTTAGCCGTACTTCTCCAAACGAAAATTTAATAGACTTATATCCACACTTATGTGTATCATCTCGAAATTTGACAATCACTGTTTACCTCCAAATTTAACCCAGTCTCTTGAGAAACTATCGATGCTCTTAAATAATATAAATAAGAATGGATACGATTCTTCAATGGAACTGTCGCAGTGTTAAACATAAAAAAGACGATTTAATCTATCTTATCAACAAATACAACCCGTTTCTTGTTGCATTATCAGAAGTTTGGCTTCACTCGAAATCTCACTTCCGTATTCCTGATTCTGCCTGCCTTCGAGAATACAGGAAAGATGGTTACTCCGGTGCTGTAATCCTAGTTAATAGATTACATCCATTTATCAAGGTTTCACTTCCTCAACATAGTGAGGAATTAAACGTTGTAGCTTGCAAATGTAAAGATATCACATACCTGTCTTTCTATATTCCTCACCCACATCCATCACTGATCACTCAATAATTTCATCAATTATTCCTCCTTTTATATTACTAGGTGATTTTAATGCTCACCATGTCTCATGGGGCTCATGCAGAAATGATATTTTGGCTATCTCTTAATGGAATTGTTTGATGAATTTAATATTTGCATTTTAAATGATGGATCACCAACAAGGAGAGTATATCCATCTCAAAATCCTAAAAGTGTTGTTGATCTAACTTTATGTACCCCAAATCTTACATCACGTATTAATTGGAAAGTTTTATCTCACTCATATGGTAGTGATCATTACCCAATATTAATTTCATTAGCCAACTGCTCAATACCATCTAGACTTTTTTCTCCGCTGTTAAAATATAATATAAAAGGAGCGGACTGGGCTAAATTCTCAACGTTGTCAGATTCGGTACTCTCTAAATTTTATAATAGTGACTCTAATGATATAGAGACAAACTACAAAAACTTTGTTAAGTATCTTTTACTCACCGCAGATTCATGTTTCACACGAAAAATTTCGCCTTCTACCAATATTTGTTCTCCCCCATGGTGGGATGAGGAATGCACACTCAGTGTTAAAAAACGTAAACAAGCTGAACGTCTATACTCCTCCAATATGTCTATTGAAAACTTTTTAAATTATAAAAAAATAGCTGCTCATACATTAAAACTTATAGCACATAAAAAAAAGACGGGTTGGCTTAGGTTTTGTGAAAATCTTTCACCCCGCTCTCCTGCTTCTATAGTATAGAAGAATATAAAGAAATTCCGCGGATCATATAACGATGATAATTATTCATCGCAATGTGATCCTTCTATTTGGTACAATTTATTTGCCGATAAGCCTGCTCCTCCTTGGGTTACCTCCTTTGAGGAATTATGTTATTGTGAACCATTGATAACCCGACCTGGAGAAAATATTAATAATTTACGTTTTAATGAAATTTTCTCCAATGAAGAATTTGAATTGTTTGTTCAGCACCTTTAAGATTCGTCACCAGGTATAGACGGAATTCCATACTCATTTATTTATAACGCAGGATCAAAATCTAAGCAAATTTTTCTAGACTTAATTAATAACATATTTATTACGGGAATAGTCCCTAATGATTGGAAAATGCAAATTATTATCCCCATTTTAAAACCAGACAAAAATCCTAGTGATGGTAATAGTTACCGCCCTATAGCACTATCATCAACCCTGTGCAAAATAATGGAGCATTTAATTAAAAATCATCTAGAATGGTTTGTTGAAAATAAAGGTCTCTTGGCCAAAACAGAGTTTGGATTTTGAAAGGGGCTGAGCACGCTAGATAGCTTGTCAGTTTTTACCTCTGATATACGCTCTGCTTTCTCCAGAGAAGAATCGGTTGGTGCTGTTTTTCTCGATGTATCATCAGCCTATGATAACGTTGTCCTCCCTTTACTCAAAGAAAAGATGCTTCTTTTGGATATTCCCGATAGAATTACTCGCATTATTTTTAATTTACTTTCAGTAAGATCAATATGTATAAGAGTTCAAGGAAAACTGCTCCCTCCGAGACAGATCTGGCGAGGCCTTCCACAAGGTTCTGTTTTAAGTCCTATTTTATTTAACATATACACCCATAATCTCGAACATTCTGTTAACTCCTTTTGTAAAGTCTTACAATATGCTGACGATCTAACTCTTTATTACTCTTCTAAGAACTTTACAGACTTGAGTTATCGTCTTAACTCTGCATTGTTCTATTTAAATAATTGGCTTACTGATAACGGTCTATCCTTATCACCTACAAAGAGTAGAGTAGTAATATTCTCTAGAAAAAGATTTTGTCCCAATATTTCAATCTCAGTACAAAATCAAATAATTCCGACAAGTGATAATGTTAAATTCCTAGGTGTTTTTCTGGATTCTAAGATGACAGGTATTCCTCATTTAACGTTCATTGCCCAAAAATGCGAAAAGACTGTGAATATCCTTCGTTCACTGACAGGTGTTTGGTGGGGATCTCATCCATATTGTTTAAAACTTTTATATAACGCTCTAATACGTAGTCATTTTGACTACGTTACATTTCTTTTGGAACCTTATAATAAACAAGCTCTTAAGCTTTTAGATAAAATCTAACTCAAGTGCTTACGAATTATTTTGGGGGTATGAAATCATCTCCGTCAAATGCTCTACAAGTTGAATGTAGCGAACCTCCTCTTTACCTACGTAGACAGTATCTTGCCGATCGCTTTATATATAGAATATTTTAGCTGTCTTCACACCCACTGCTTTCTAAACTGCATTCTTTAAACTCTGGTTTGAAGAATAACAACTATTGGACTCATAAAGACGTTCCCTGTATCCTTAAAAGCTACTTACCTTTAAATGTCCCATATTTCAAAGTATGATTAATCCTCTATTCGTACATCCATTTGAAGCTCTATGTTATCATCCTCCAGTTATTTTAGATTTTGGTGTGACTAAAAATTCCCCTGTACCGCAACAAAAATTTCTAAGTATATTACGCGAAAAATGGGAAGGGTGGTTGATCCTTTTTACTGATGCCTCCAAACTCTCCGATAATAGTTTTGTAGGTTCAGCTGTCTAGATACCGAAATATAAAATTATTTTAAATTTTAAAAATTCAAATGCTACTTCAATTTTCACTGGTGAAGCGGTTGCTATTTTAGAAGCAATTTTATTTATAGAAGCACATAAAATTAACAAATGTATTATTTTAACTGACTCATATAGTTCATTACAAAGCATTTCATCTAACCCGTTTCGAAGTAAATCGAAATTCCAATTATTTTTGAAATAAAAGATGCTCTGTATGGGTGTTTTTGTCAAGGTCTTAACCTGAAACTTGCTTGGCTTCCAAGTTATAGTGGCATACGTGACAACGAAATTGTCGATTCCTTAGCAAAGCAAGCATCTACTTCTTGTACCCTCATGCATCATATAACATATACTCATGACCTTATTTCTCTTGCGAAAATCCATCAGATGTCAGATTGGAACTCTCTTTGGAAAAAACACTCAGAAGTGTATCGGTAAATATTATGCAGAAATCCAACCTGACATCCCCTCCATACCATTAAATTTAGAAATGGCTCCAAACATAGCACATCAGTCATATTTAGAATTAGATTAGGACACACTTGTTCACCTGTATTTTTGGCAAAACTTAAGATTAAATTACATCTTAGTCTAGTGTATCTGGGTCTTAGTTTAGTATAGCTCAATTTGTGAGTGTGGATTAGACGAAGGTACGATCGATCATAAAATTTTAACTGCCCTAACCTCTCCGTTTCATTATACGATTTTCTTCCTAATAACATCCCTCGTCCGGTAAATCTTAAGTCTTTGTTAAATTTAGTTTACACTCCTTTTGTACAAACTTTATTAGACTTCATATCCATTTATAACATTAAACTATAGTACCTTTGCCACTTACATATATCCATATTATTATATTAGCAATAATTTTGTAAAAATATTATAATGTTAATTCATTCGAAAATAACTACGTAAGTAAGTTCGTAACATAATAAGTAAGCGCATCTACGGAAACGGAAACTAGTAAATACACTGTGTGACTCTCATGAAATACTTGACGCTGGCAGAATCCATTAGAAGATGGAGGTTTTGGCGGGAACTTGACCGGCGGCGGTTTGCTGCTCCTGTATTATAGTTTAAATAATAGTTTGAAGTGGATTTTGATTTGTAAAAGTGATGTAATTTTTGTATTAACTGTCTACGCATGTGAACTATTAGTGGAAACGGTGAAACAAGTGCTCTGATGGTGATGGATTCTCAAGATAAGCTGTTTGTCTGCATAGGCGCCTTTAGATACCATCGCCAACTGACAGCTGTCTGCTGGTTAAAGTTGTCGTCAAAATCTCCCAAGGGCTGCACAATGTGACGCATCAACATATTGTGAAGCAGTGAACTATGAAGGATAATATAAAAAAGACAAGGCTCTATGGCTTAGTTCCTGTGCCTGCTCTCTCGAGCGAATAATAAAAACAACAACAACAACCATTAGAAGTTGCCAAACTAGGAAAAAAAAATCAATGTAATGTTAATAAAGCTATAGAAAACAGCAATGGCCTTTACTGAAGGTGAAGTTTGTAGAATTTGTTTAAGCGTTAATATACGCATGTTTGCACTAAAGGAGACTGGCCTCCAAAATCTGTATAAGACATTGACGAACAGTTTTGTAAGTTTTTTAATATTTATTTATTGCTAAATGAAGTTGCGGTAATTTGTTGTTATCACTGGAGAAATACATTATGATGCCCGATATATGTTCTAAGATGTAGCGTTAAATATAGTGACAAATACAACCAGAAACTGAAAAATAACAATTAGTTTGGTATCCTGGGTCGCACTAAAATCAGTATTATCATTTAAGTAAAGCCTAGTAGGATATACTTGGGTACGCAAGGAGCGGCATGTTGCGCAACATGTCTCTCAACTAATATGTGGAATGTCCCGAGACATGTTGCGGAACTTTTTGCAGGCCACACTAGTCAGTAGTCAGTGCTTATAGATGTCTCCCAAAGAAGTTGTGGTGATTAGTACTGTGTACGTAGTGCTTATTGCGGGAGTGAAACGTAAGCAAAAGAAAAGGTGGTGGAATCAGAATTCCTTACTACAATGAGAAGGAAGAGGAATTGATATTTTAAGTGATCTCCGAATGTCTGACGGATCTTTTGTGAATTTTACTCAAATGTCAACATCTGATTTTGAAACGTTATAACAAATGATCGGACCTACCATAACCAAACAGGATACTATACTATGGAATGCTGTTGGCCTCATATCGGTATCAGACTTGCCATTGCATTAAGATACTTGTTGACTAGAGTTTTTTATGCTTCGTTGTTGTACACTTTTCGAGTGTTGAAACAACTGATCAGCAGAATAGCACCAGAAGTTAGTGGTTAGAAGTATCCCATAACAAAACACGACTCTGGTAAAGTTCAAGAAGTAAAAGCACGGTTTAATTTCCCCACACAACTGACATGTTGCAAGTAAAGTTGTACACACAACTACACCCGGTAGCAAATGACGTGACACTGACGCCGGACACTTGCACTCTCTCTCGGAGAGGGAACAAGCAACTTGTCCTATGTCACTTACAATGTCTGGGTTACTGTGCAATATAGCATCGTCATGTAGATTGAGTGTTCCACATCATCATGCGGGACAAAATGGCCCCTAGTGTATCTGGGTCTTAGTTTAGTATAGTTTAATACGGGCTGATTTCCACAAGTCCACGTCTATGTGCGTATTTTGCATGTAGGCAGGAATAATATGCTTATTCGAGCCATGAGATCACCCCGAAGAAGCTCAACAGTCCTTTGATGTTGCATGCAACTTTGGGGAGTGATCTCGGTGTGCCGAGATGTTTAGCCCTGGTTTTAGGTCTCTATGTACCTCTGGACATTTCAATATCACATGGGCCGCCGTTTCTTCTTCCCCCAGACATGCCCTGCACAGGGGACTATCTGTAACACCTATAGTAAATAAATGCTTGTTAAAGTTGCTGTGTCCTGTGATAGCACTTGTTACTATCCTGATCTGCGGCTTGTTCACTCTCATTAGAACTTTGGTTAAACAACTGTTTATTTCAGACAGGGCCTCCCTAGCTTGTCTACAGTCTACTAGATTTTTCAAAGCTGAGCGTGTAGATTAGTGAAGTGTCAAATATCTGGGTCTTAATTGTACTACATTCTCCTTCCATTCCGTCCATGCAATCCGCACTGCTGCATAGATTTTGTTGCTGGTATCTGTTCTAGTACATATTACTTGAATGACTATTATTGTGATCTTCTATCAAGAAATTAACATTTATCCTGGTTTGGTTGTTCAGCAAATTATAAACAGTTCTATCGGACTATTAAAATGAGAGAATAGAGTAGAATGAATTATTATCATTATTTTATATGTTGTAGAGCCGGGCTGCAGCTATATTATGGTTGTATCATGGATGGTTCGGCTCGACCGGGGTGGTACTACAATTTCACAGAATGTGTAGTATCACCCAGCACCCTGTGTTTTGTTTCAATATCCTACCACAAGCATTATCAGTTTACTTAGAGTGATGTTCTTAGTGATGATAGCAGTTTGAAGTTAATGTAGGTAATGTAGTTGATGGATGTAGGTGGATTGGAACTGGTAACATTGCATCTGTAGCCATTGCTTGAAGTTTGTTGCAGGTGCCCATGATGCCCATTAGTCACTTACTAGATGGTAAGTTTATTTGTCACTTCAATATTATAAAAAGTGATGTTGACAAATTAAAATGTGGTAGCCAATAATCTTTATTACAAACTTATATACAGTAGAACGCCAATTATCCGAATTAATTGGGACCGGGGTTGATTCGGATAATTGGACATAGACTGGTATGTAATATAGAAAAACGAATTGTCACACATAGAATAAACTTTATTAATTTTATAAATGGTTTTACACTTTATAAAGTTTTATAAAGAGTAAAACCAGCTACACCCATTTTTTCACTGAACATTTGTGCCTTTTCACATAAAATCGATCCTGAAATCGGTTATCCAATAGATCGTTGCTGGAGAAACCACGTAAACACAGCATTCTCAAGCTGTTCATCTTTTGCCTTTTTCATTACTTTTCGCGACAAACATCCATCACCACTTTCCAACGCAGTCACAAAGCTTATAATGTTTTCACTGTTATTTTTAATATAATATTTATTGTATTTTTGCTGGTTTCAGCGTCTCCCTGATAACAGCAAAAATACAATAAAAACTGCAGTTGCCAACCCGCTCGCCAAGAGTGGCAACTATGTATTTGAATACAATTTCATATTTATGAAGATTTTCATATTTTCAGTTGGATGAGATTGAGGGGCCAATAATTGTCTGTTTCACCTGTCATGCAAGACTCATTCGTTGCAGAAGATTACAACAACAGGCTATTGAGTCAAATGTGGTTCTGGAGCAGTTGCTTTCAGGAGGATCCATGGTATTATCCATCCCATCCATTAAAACCTATAAAAGTCCACTGCTGAACATAGGTCTCACTCATAGATTGCTTCATAGGAGGGATTTTGCCAAATTTGCCACACTTGGCAAGTTGGCAACCGTAGTTTATATTAGTCTAAGTTGTTATCAGGAAGATGCGGCCGCCCTACCTCTGTTTCTGTTTCCTTCTACTGCCTCTTACGACACCCATCCCGTGGATAGGTATATAGGATAGTGCAGGGGTCGGCAACCTGCGGCTTGCGAGCCACATGCGGCTCTTTGGATGTGAAGCTGCGGCTCTTTTTTTTATATAGAATCGCGTGACAAACGAGCACACAGTCCACCTGATGGTAAGTGGTTACTGTGACCCATAGACATCTACATCTATCCTCAATAAAGACTCAAGATGCAGATGCGTTGTCACCCGTGAGGACTAAGATGGAATGCCTCTTTGCCAGTAAAAAGGGTCTCCGGTTCTCTACACTCACCATACGAAACAGCAGCGCTAAGCTTCTATTTTACGCTGGTTTTCTGTGAGAGCGTGGTCCTTCCCCGTTCGAGCCGACCCATTCTTGCTACAACCATAATATAGCTGCAGCATGGCTCTACCACGTAGACAACCACGCTCTTTAGTTTCATACGCAAATATTATTTATTTTATAAAAAAAATTATAAATCGATCCATACTGAGACATTTGGGGTTGATACTGGATCTCTAGAAGTGCAATTGATCGATTTAAAAAGTACAGCTTTGTGGATTTGAAAATTTACAGAGTTGATAAGGAAGTTGAAAAAGTTGGAGGTCCAGAAATGTATGTACGTAACGCAACAAAAATGAACAGCTTTAAAAGAAAGACTGCGAGTTGAGTTATATTTGACGCATGGAATAGTCTTCCGGATTGCTATAGTGAGGTGAAGAAGTTGGCATTTGGAGTGCTGACTATCTTCAGCTCGACATATTCGTGCGAGCAAGCGTTCTCTTGCATGAATATAATTAAAAGTAAAGTAAGGAGCCAACTAACAAATGAAAATTCAGATTCGTGTTTGAAACTTAAAACAACAAGTTATGAGCCAAATTTATCCAAACTTTCTAAAACCATGCAATGTCAAAACTCCCATTGAATTTGTTTGCTCAATTGTTTGTACTTGAAGTATAAGTTAGTGTTGTAAGACTTACAATGTAAATAAATGTTTGTTTTAATTTTTTACTTAAATAATAAGTGATTATCTATTAATACCATATATATTTATATAAAAGATAAAAGGTTGCCGACCCTGTGATATTCTTACACCGTCACTGCGTAATCCACTTTTCTATGCTGCTTCCCATTGCTATATGGGAGAATGTTTCCATGCTGCAGCTATATTAATAGTATAGTTGTAGCACGAATGGGTTGGCTCGACCGGGGAAGGACCACGCTCTCACAGAACACCAATGTAAAATAGCAGCTTAATGCTGCTGTGTTTCGTATGGTGAGTGTAGAGAACCGGAGACCCATTTTACTGGAAAAGAGGCATTCTATCTTAGTCCTCACGGCTGACTACGCATCTGCATTTTTAAATTCTCAAACAAAGATAGATTTAGATGTCTGTGGACCACAGTAACCACTTACCATCAGGTGGACTGTGTGCTAGTTTGTCACCCTTATTCTATATATTAATCATTATCAGGAAGACGCTGCCGCCCAACCCCTGTTTCTGTTTCCCTCTGTTGCCACTTACGACACCCATCCTGTGGATAGGTATATATAGGATAGTGGATATTCTTACACAGTCACTGCACGATCCACTTTTTCCATGCTGCTTCCCATTGTCATATGGGAGAATGTTTCTAGTGCAAAATTAAGTTTGTCCTTCAATGCAACTTACTTTTGTTAGAGCAATAGTACTTATTTTTACAAAAACAATTATCAAACTGTTTATACTGTTATATATTACCCTATTGTATATAAACAAATCTCAATAAACAAAGATAAATCTTTGTCAATTTACAGCTTTCGTGAATCTGAATCCAAAAGTTGTTGAGACTCGATTCTCAGGATAGATGAACTATGTACATTCTTATTTAAGTTTACGCTGAACCCTCACTTTTGTCCGGTGTTTATTATTATTTGGAGGTGTTGTCAGGAAGATGCTGCCCCCCGATCTCCTGTTTCAGTTTCCCTCTGCCCCTTTTTACGACATCTGCAGGATGGCAGGGGTAGTATGGGTTCTCCTACTCCACCACTATAGTGGCTTTTTCTCTTATTTGAAAAAATTATTTCCTTTCAGTCAGTACCAAAATCGAATAAGGTTAGAGGTGAGATTAAATTCACACCAATTTATCATATAGATATCTGGCCTGTAGAGTGTGATATAGACAATGATTGCAAGGACGAAATTTTTTGCCTTGGTGCCGTTAAAGTTGAGGAAGAGATTTTCGAATATGAGAATTCCAAATTTGAAGAAAATGAGAATCATGAAACAGGTAAGATATACCTCTTTTCTTGATATTATTAAAATAAGGTACAATTTACCTTATGGCAAGTGGTTACTGTAGCCCGTAGACACAAAATAAAGAGGGCTTCGTGTGTAATGTACTGATTTACTAATTTGCCTTTGTCTAAATTCAAGTGCATGTCAAAAGCACTCTTATTAATACATTAAAAAAATATTTTTACCCTGTCAGCTAGTATGTGTCACTAAGATACATACTGGTAAGCAACCAATTATCTTTGCCGTCTTCTTAGTGTCAGTACTAGGTGGTGTGACTCCATGTTTGCCTAGGAGTTGATCTATTTGTGCCTGCCCAGATGGACTCCTTCCTCCTCCTCTTACTTATTTCTGCTGTCAAATAGCAGTGCGTGCGCTGCTGTGTTCCATTCTGATGGGTATAGAGTCAGAATAATCACAGGCATGTGGGTCATTCCATTTTAGTTGTCGTAGAGCCATGCTGCAGCTATATTAGTAGAATAGTTATAGCACGAATGGGTCGGCTCGACCGGGGAAGGACCATGCTCTCACAGAATACCAGCGTGAAATAGCAGCTTAACACTGCTGTGTTTCGTATGGTGATTGTAGAGAAGCATATACCCTTTTTACTGGAAAAGAGGCATTCCATCGTAGTCCTCATGGGTGACAATGCATCTGCATTTTGATTCTTTATTAAGGACAGATGTAGATGTCTATGGGTCACAGCGACCATTTACCATCGTGTGGACTGTGCTCGTTTGTCACCCTATCCTATAAAAATTAAAATGAAAAGATGAGCACAATGCATCATTAAATCTTCATCATTACAGCCTTCACAAGTCCACTGCTGAACATAGGTCTCAGCCACGGAATGCCACAAAGCACAGGAATCCATCGCCTTCCTGCATTTCTTACCAGGGCATCATTCCATCTAATGGAGGGCCGCCCTACACTTTGTCTACTGGTACGAGGCTGCCACTCGTAAAACTTCCTCATTCGTTGTCATTTCTTTGAGCTATAGCTATAGGCCGGAATTTCAAATTTCAAAGAATTAATTCAGCATTTGAAACCATGATGTTGAAAGTAACTACAACAGAAGTGAGACGACGGGCCCGTGCTTGTGTTAGTAATCCCATCAATTATTTTGAGCATCAACAAATAAATAATTAGAATTTTTATTAGTCTGCCTAAAAATTTAAATTTTCTACCTCAATCTGGTTTTAGGGGACAATTGAAAAATTTGTAACAAATGCGTGTAAGTTATACCTCAAAGGAAAGAGTAATAACCAAGCATATTTTCAAAAAGGTTCTAACAATAAATTAAAGTACCATCAGTTTTTTTTTTAACATAGTGTCAATAATGCTTATTATTTAAAATGTTAATTATGTTTCTTTAAATCGTAGAAAATTTTCGTGAACTTAGTTTCTGTACAAAAATATGTCTGATGACACAGATGCTGAGACTATGTTTTCTTAGATTTCTTATTCATTACTTAAATTAAAAAAAAACAGATGTTAATTAAATTGGCAATTATTAGCAATTAACTGTAAAATTTTTAGTTTTATCACCAAAAACAAAAAGTATAGTCAGACTTTGTCTAAAATAATTATGGCCTAAATGATCTTCTTCAATCAACAAGTCAATCTTCCAATCATTCTGTATAATGCTTGTCCCGTGTGCGATTCGAAGCATCTATTATTAGATTAATGTAGGTAATTGTATCATGGTGAGAAGAACGTCATCATTATCATTCGAATTTAGTTTCTCTACTATTCTTTCCCTCCAAAAATGAATATTAGAGACATTATTAAAAGTAAAATACTTTATATCTAGCAACATTGTATAATTATGTAATTTTATAATTTATCTATTTCTCCCTGGTTGACTGATAGAGAATGCGTTTAAGGTGTCTTACAATAAAAAGTTTTACTTATAATAAATTAAATGTTCAATTCGTGTGTATTTCAGAACCATACATCATACCGACAAATCATTTTTCAAAAGCGTCTGAGAGCAAGATTAAATCAAATTCTACTGATTGTAACATAAACGATGTTCGTAAAGCAAACCTCGATTTAGAAAGCCCTACTATTAAATCAAAGCCTAAAGTCAAAAAAGATAATCAACCAATTAATAAAAAAGGAAAGCATTCCGCAAATATTATGAGAAAGAAAATATTGAAACAAAAGAGTGTAAATATACTTACGAAAAAAACGTCAGGGGCATCAACAAAATACATTTTTGAATGTTATGGTTGTAGCAAAAAATTTTCAACAAAAGACATTCTCGCCAAACACATTTCATACAGTCATAAGACACAAAAGAACTCAGTCACCACTGCAGTTCGGACACAAGTTGAACAAACTTCAGTACCACAACTAACGGAAACATTTAATTGTGATATTTGTGAATTTAAAACAACTCAAAAACGTCGCATTTTGACACATCTTAAAGCGCACGTCGCTGAACAAGTGTACTGTTGTAATAATTGTGATTATAAATGTATTAGAAAAGATAATTTGCAGAGACATATGAAAATACATACTGGAGAAAAACCTTTTTTATGTAATATCTGTGAATATCAATGTATTCGAAAAAGTGATTTGCAAAGGCATATGAAAATACATACTGGAGAAAAACCTTTTTCGTGTCATATCTGTAAATATCAATGTATTCAAAAAAGTAGTTTGCAAACACATATGAAAATACATACTGGAGAAAAACCTTTTTCGTGTCATATCTGTAAATATCAATCTAATCGAAAAAGTAATTTGCAAACACATATGAAAATACATACTGGAGAAAAACCTTTTTCGTGTCATATCTGTAAATATCAATGTATTCACAAAAGTAGTTTGCAAACACATATGAAAATTCATACTGGAGAAAAACCTTTTTCGTGTCATATCTGTAAATATCAATGTATTCACAAAAGTAGTTTGCAAACACATATGATGAAAATACATACTGGAGAAAAACCTTTTTCGTGTCATATCTGTAAATATCAATGTATTCGAAAAAGTAATTTGCAAACACATATGAAAATACATACTGGAGAAAAACCTTTTTCATGTAATATCTGTGAATATAAATGTGTAGAAAAAAGTAATTTGCAAAGGCATATGAAAATACATACTGGAGAAAAACCTTTTTCATGTAATATCTGTGAATATAAATGTATTCGAAAAAGTAATTTGCAAAAGCATATGAAAATACATACTAGAGAAAAACCTTTTTCGTGTTATATCTGTAAATATCAATGTATTCGTAAAAGTCATTTGCAAAGGCATATGAAAACACACACTTGAGCAGAACCTTTTTTGTGAGAGATCTGGTAAAATATGTGCAATATTATGTAAACGTGTTTTATATAAATATAAAAGTATACTAGATAAAAATCCATTTGTCATGAGTTCCTTATGTAACTGTAGAACGAGTAGAAAAACCTTTCCGTATCATATGTGCTAATTGAAACTGCATTTGTTCTAAAAAGCTAATTCAAAAACCAAAGAAGCAACCAAGTGAAATCGAACCTTGAAATATGTACCGAGTGGTTATATTAGTTTATATTTTTATTTATTCGTTTCGACTTTTATCGTTACCGTTACAGCCTATAAAAGTCCGCTGCTGAACATAGGCCACCCCCACGGATTGACTCATAGGGGGGATATTTGCCATAGTTGCCATGCATGTTGGGTAGGCAACCGCGGTTTTTTATTTTTATTTGTTATTAGGAAGACGTTTCTGCCCATCTCCTGGTATATTTCCTCCGTCGCCTAGATATAATATATAGATATAGATATAAGAATATCCACTACCCCATATCATCCCGTGTGTGTCTTAGAGGCGACAGAAAGAAACAAATCAGAAGACGTGCAGCACCGTATTCCTAAGAAAATAAAAAAAAACTGTGTTGCCAACCCGCTTGCCAAGCGTGGCAACTATGGCAAATATCCCTCCCAATGAGGCAATCTATGGATGAGGCCTATGTTCAGCATCAGCAGTTGACTTTAATAGGCTCTCTAACAAGAACACAATAAATGTCGAAACGAAAAAAGGAAAAACATTAGCAATCAATTAAATAAAAAAAAACATGGTCTGGTCTGTTTCCACCATAGACTTAGGATATACTGGCGTACAGACGACCTGACAGCCCGAAAACGCGTGACTGTGGAGGAGTTAACCAAAAAGTAAGATCCATTCCTGGGTAATTTTAGGCCGTAGAGTTCAAAAATAAACAGAAAGGAGGGGGTAATGGGGGGGAAGTACCCCTTTTTTGGTGGGAAGTATATATCCCGATATCTGTTCCTGCCCTGCCCAAAAATGGTAAAAGTGGGAACTATAGCTCCCATTGCCCTGTATGACATTAATTAAATAACACTAGTTAGTTGCCCTTGCTTCACTTGTGAAATAAATTTTAACTCAAAATCGTATATAAATTGTGATTTTTTAATAAAGGAGGTAAAAGTACTAATCAATGCATGACCCTTGCATTGAATAGTACTGTTCGATGTTATTGTCTTTTATTTAGGGAAGAACTCCTAAATTGAAAAAAAAAATAGACTTCCCCGTACATTTTTAGTTGAGTAGGTATGTAATTTTGTATGCAGTAACTAATTTTACTTTCACGACTTATAAATAGTTTTTTAGTAAAAGTTACTTGTATTGATGAGTACTTACACCTTTCGGCTTTTGGGAAATTAATAAACAAATTATTATTAAAGAAGTTCTCTTTATTCATATATATTTAGATACTAATGTAATTACGTGTTAGGAACTGTTTTGATCACATTATAGTCAGTCTTCTTCAGTGTCTTTTATTTCCCATTTAATAAATAAAGTAATTCTAGGCTATTCTGTTGCAGTGGTATGAAAGTTTTTAAAGCATCCCTTGATGCATAGAGGCACGGTGCAAGTGGAGCACATAAATTTGGTTCTTTTCTCCTGTTTTTTTGTGCTGCAGAACCGGCATCTCTTATAAGTGTACCTACATTCCATAAACGAATTTCTTCCGGCACTCCAAATACCCCCCCCCTTTCTTGCTTGTAAAGGGTACACTTGGGCGTGCTTTTTTTTGTGAATAATTATTTATTAGCGCACGTGCCAAACGCAGTCTAAATTCACGGTGTGAATGTGCTGTTACAGCGTGTGTTGAACTGTATGTTATATATGAATTAGTGATGGATGCATCAAACATAAAAAAGAATAGACGCATCCAAAACTTTCGAGATTTCCGGTTGATTGGGTAAGAGGATCTGTAATGATCAAATAGATCCACCCCACCCATGCTCATTGTGTAAGAAGCAATTGCTTTCGGGCAAAGAACTTCTGCTCTTGAACCATCTTTTTGAGTTCTTTTCACATACATAATGTCCAATGGTTGATGTGCTGTGGTAAGCAATGTGACTTCTTCTGTGTCAAGCCATTTTATTGGTGTGATAGGTTCTGATGTCAAAGCTGAGAATTCATGTTTATTTAGTCGTAACGGTTTTGGTTGTTTCTTCATCATTTCCGGGAGGTCTTTTCGATTTGACCTTACTGTTCCTACAGCATAAATATGTTTATCATATAGCTGTGTAAATTACAACCAGTGAAAAAATTATCAAACGCTACTTGTGTATTCATGGGTAGATTGTTGCTGAGTTTCATCACGACATTGTAGCCCAGACCTTCATTTTCAATACTATCACCCTTTCCGGTATATATTTCAAATTGGTATAAGTAACCAGTTTTGGCATCACATCTGGCCCATATTTTGAACCCCCTCTTAATAGGTTTTTTGGGCATGTATTGTTTCAATGAACACCTACCTTTAAACTAAACCATACATTCATCAATTGACTGTACACTTGAATTGTATGCCTCATTCTGATACACTTCATTTAATGTTGTGATCAAAGGTTTGAATAATTTGTCGTAATTTCTTGAATCTCTTGGAGGTTCGATACTATTGTCATTAAGATGTAGATTTTCTGTTATTTTCTTAAATCGCGCTATTGTAAATACGCAGAAAATTTCAGGATTATTATAGAAGGAATCACTTGACCAATAAAGCTCCATGTCTGGTAATGGATTTAAGCCCATTAGGATAAGAATACCTAAATATGCTTTGATGTCATCTTCATTGACTTGAACCCAGTTTTTACTATTTTTGTAGCGGGCATATCTATTTGTTTGTTCAACAATTACTTGTATTAAATAATCCGGAAAGAAATTTTCAAAAATGGTTATTGGTTCAGTTTTATGGTTAAATTCAGATTTAGGTTGAATTTTTTTGTCAAAGTTTGGAGTGTCGTGCGTGGTTCTACATATTTTCCATATCCGTGGCTGAGATCTATTTTTTTGCACTGTAGAACTCAGTGGGGTTTGCAAATCCTTCTCTCTAACTAAATTTTCGTCTATGTTACTGACAAGTTGCTCAACATGTTCAGAAATGTCTTCTTGTTGAAGGGGATCATCGGTGGAGGCATTTTCTGGAATCGTATCTAGTCCTATTTTATGCTCAATTGATACTACTAAATCACTGTCAGAAATTAGATTTTGTGCCCCTACGTGTATTTCAAAATTAGCACTACCACCACTATCACTACTTGGTATTATAGTACAATCAGGATTTTCCGGGTTTAGTATTTCTAATAAGTTCTCACACGGTTGTTGTGTACTTGTAGTTTCCTCATGTTCTTTGTCACCTAAATCATCGATCCCCAATATCTCTTCAAGTCGCATCTCAATTCTATCCTCCTCATTTTGTTGCAAAAATGACCTTGAAGGACTAATTATAAAATCACTGTAAACTAAATCATCATCAGAATCACTACCAGACCAATCATCATCATCTAGAATTTTTTCTATCGCCTTGTCAGTTAGTTTTTTATTTGGCATTATTCTAAAACAAAATAAAAGCAAAAAATAAATTTTAATGTATTGGAACACTTGTTATTCAATTATATGATCATGAAATAACGAATAATAACTAATAAGTTATATATAAATAATAATAATCTATCTTTTGTCCAAGTTTATTCGATCAACGGATATACGGATTTTATATATAGATATTTTCAAATAATGAGAGCAGTAACGAACACTGGGATGATATCTTCCCACTTATAGACTCAAGTTCAGTCGAGTCTAACAAGCTGCAAACTAAATATTATGTGCAATTTTTACGGTCTACACAACCGATATATAGTCTAATTTGCATATGTAATACTCAAATCTGCTTACCTAATTTTTTTTCAGCACTACACTAAAAAAATTAAAATAACTGTCGGTTTAGTCCGCAAAATCACGTCACGTAACTTTAACGTTTCTTTACCATGACATGTGACACTTCTTTGAAAAGTGTTGCCATTAAAAAGGCCCTCTGAAATGTAAAGCAGGGCTCGGAACCGGTTTAAAAAGAGCGGTTAATTTCGATTAATTACCGGTAAATTTATCGCTCCTACAATTACCGGTTAAAAAATTAACCGGTTTTTATTAAACCTAAACGATAAAGGTTACCGGTTACTTAACGGTTTCGACACCCAAATTAACCGGTTAATTCCGTAAAACATAAAGGCAGTTATGAATAGGACAGATAGATTCACGTTGCGAGGTGCTTATGCGGCATCGCCGCATGCGGGCACACTTATGAATTAACTGCCTTTAAGCGATACATTGTTTTACTCGCGATCAGGGTGTGTAGTGGGAGTTTGGCGTTTACGAAAAACCTGAAAGTATTGGAGAAGTTTTGAAGAAAGAAAGGCAGTTATTGTGTTTGGTTTATTCGTTAAGACTGGACTTGTCTCATAATGAAGAAAATAATTTATTCTTGTGTATCGGTTGTTTATTTATGATGGACAGAAAAAATTAAATAGAATTTATTCCATGTTTACGTTTTAACAGTGATAGAGCCACGCGGCAGCTTTTGCTACCGCATGGATGGGCCAGCTTGAACCAGGGTAGTACCACGACCTCACAGAATACCAGCGTGAAGTAGAAGTTTACTTCTGCGTTTCGCTTGATAGGTATAGGTGGTCGGAGGCCCAATTCCCGCCCCCCCCCTTAAAGTATGGTAGCGGCATCAAATAAAAAACTACCCCAGGAGGGTACCAGAATCCTGGTGACGGAGAATCCTTTGCTGAGCACCCACGCCCAAGCTACCCAAATATTCCTGAGCATGTGTGCTCAAGCTGCCCCGCGTATTCTGGTATACAGGGGAGTGGGGGGAGGGGGGTATCCTCAGAGATCGTGATCCTTGGCGATTTTAACGACCATCACGCCGAATGGCTCGGTTCACATTTAACCGATCATGTGGGGAAATTTGTTTATGACTTTGCCTTGGCATATGGTTGCACAGCTGGTTACTTACCTACACGCCTACGCGGATTCCAGATGTGGAGGATCATGCGTCTTCCCTGTTGGAACTTCTGCTGACCTCTTATCCGGACGGATATCAGGTTTCCGTTGACACCCCTCACGGCTCCTAGGGCCATTGTCTTGTCCGGAGGGTGGTGTCACTCACATTATCTTCGCGGTTGCATTCTGCAGGCAGCCGCCATGTTTGGCACTATAGATCGGCCGATTGGGAAAGGATGCGGTCTGTTTTTGCATTCTACCCTTGAGGGCGAATTTGCTTCTCGCTGGACAATCCCAGCAATGTTGCTGATTCTGTCACTGATATGGTACTTGAGGATATGGAACTTTTTATTCCATCTTCTGTTGTGCCCATCGGAGGCAGATTCCAGCCATAGTTTGGTCGCTCATGTAAAATAGCATCACACTATAAGCAAGAGTACTACTAGCACTGGGCTGACGACATCTTTACATTCCGAGACATTGATGTATCGAGATGTAAACTTCAGCGCTCTTCAAAAGAAGTATAATTCCGCCTCCAGGTTCTTCAAAATTAATTGCCAAGGCAAGGTCAGAGCACATCGGTGGAGTTGGTGAGAGGCTAGTTCGCCTTCCTTCAGTAAGCCGTTCATTCTGGTCTCTTGCTAAGGCTGTCCAAGGGAACTTCTGTCAGCCCTCTCTGCAAAGAGAGAGCGACTCACTGAGTCCATGCCGCAAAGGAGAAAGCCGATCTTTCAATCTCTCTTTTTGCGTGCAACTCGACTCTCGATGACGGAGGATTACACCGCCGACCATCCCGCGGTTTGAGTGCTCCATGCCAGATGTGCGGCTTACACAGCGCTCGGTTCCCTTCCATTGTGCTGAAGACGTGTGCTCCGAAGTTGACACCTGTTTTAAAGCGTCTTTTTCGGTACTTTTACTCCTAAAGCGTTATCCCAAATTCATGGAAGACAGCTTTGGTTCACCCGATCCCTAAAAAAGGCGACCGCTCAGACCCGTCAAACTACAGGCCTATCGCCATCACCTCCTTGTTCTCCAAAATAATAGAATCCATTATAAACAGTTTTCGTCGGGGTTGATCAGTTGATGATCTTCTGGTCTATCTAACTCATAGATTTGCGGAGGCAGTAGAGTCTAAGGGGTAGGCATTGGCCGTTAGTTTGGACATTGCGAAGGTCTTCAATCGGAGTGGCACAAAGCGCTTCTTTCGAAGCTCCCTTCCTACAGGCTTCTCGAGAAATTGTGCAATTGGATCACCAGTTTCCTTGCTGATCGGAGCATCAAGGTCGTAGTAGACGGTGCATGCTCTGATTACAAGCCTATTAACGCTGGTGTTCCACAAGGCTGCGTGCTATCACGTCCCTCTTTCTCCATGAAGTCGGCCAGCTGCCCTTGGGTTCCGTTGCCTTATTCCAAATTTCCCTACTTTCAGCTCACCGTTCTCTCTTGTGCCTAGTTTTGCATTGAAGTCTCCCATTAACACTGTATAGTGCGTTTTGGAGGAATGCTTGGCTCTAGAGATATCCTCATTCATTTCCTCCACCTCCTGATCGGGGTGTGCCGAGGTTGGTGCGTAAGCCTGTATGACCTTCAGCGAATACCGTTTGGTGATTCTGAGTATAAGTTACGCAACCCTCGTCGACACACCCTCAATCTTTACAACGTTGTTAACAAGAGACTTGTGGATAAATCCGACACCTCCTTGGGACAGATGGTCGCCCTCCCGGTGATAGAACAAGTTGCCGGATTCGAGGATTTACCCTGTCCTTCCCCTCTCTTCGGACCTCGAATAATCCTATAATATGCCAGTGTAACTTGTCTATCTCTTCTTCCAGCTCCACGATCTTCTCATTAGTCCTCAGGGTTCGTGCGTTATATGTTGCCAGGTCGAGTCATTTTAGGTGGCAACCGAACCTCCATCGGAGATTCTTAGCACCCCCTGCCCTGCCGTTACCATGGTCGCCACCGTAGGGGGCCGTCTCTATGTTGCTCTCTTCATTGGGGGGTATTTGCCATAGTTGCCAGGCTTGGCGAGCGAGTTGGCAACCGCAGTTTTTTTTATTGTACTTTTGCTGTTATCAGGAAGATGCTGCTGCCCATCTCCTGCCTGTTTCCCTTTGTCGCCTTTTACGACACCCACGGGAAGATATGGGGTAGTGGTTATTCTTAACCGCCACTAAACGGCTTCACATGTGTTCGAGATATATTTTTGTTTATTTCTCAGACATGCAGGTTTCCTCACGATATTTTCCTTCACTGTCGAGCACGTGGTAAATCGGCACTTAAAATTGCAATTAACCATTTCATTGGTGCCGGCGGGAATCGAACCCGAGTTTCTCGCGTACTGTGAGATTTACAGCGAGCGCTAACCATCTGAGCTACCACGGCGCTACCGGAACAAACTTGTGTCTGATGTCGATTCTTTGCTGAACAAAGTCTCGGATTGAAGGCGGCTAAATCTAGTCCATTTCAATCCCCAGAAGACTCAAATTTGCACGTATACCGCTAAAAAGAACCCCTTTGTCGTATCTCCTCAGTTTAAAGGCACTCCCCTTGCTGCCTCAGCTAGCATCGGAATCCTCGGCGTCGACATATCGAATAGTGTGCAGTTTTGGGGTCACTTGGAAGGGAATGCCAAATTGGCCTATCTTTGGCACATCGCTTGCAACTTTACAAAGCGCAAATTCGGCCTCTCATCTCTGGGCCGGGGCACGCCAGTGTCAGCTCCTTCCACTTGACCGCATCCATCGCAGAGCGGTTCGAGTCGTCGACGTGTGAATTCTTTCTGGTCGGCTCGATTGACTGGCACTGCTTAGGGATGTTGCATCCTTTTACATTTTCTATCGAATTTACCACGGGGAATGCTCTGAGGAATTGTTCGGTTTAATTCCAGCCGCCAAATTTCACGAACGCACATCGCGTCAAATTTCACGATACCATCCTCACCATCTGGATGTTTGACGGGCCACCACTGCGTTTTACTAGGAGTTTTCTTCCTCGTACAACTTCTCTGTGGCATTGTTAACCACCGGCGATTTTTCCGGACCGATACGACTTAGGGACCTTCAAGAAAAGAGCTCACTCCTTTCTTAAAGGCTGGCAAAGCACCTGCAATTCCCCTGGTGTTGCGGTAGTTCATGGGTGGCAGTAGTCACTTACCATCACGTGACGCGCATGCTCGTTTGCCCCCTTTTCTATAAGCAAACGTACGACGAGAATACCCAAAAATGTAAGTGCTTGATTGAGGGCTGAATACGACTATCAGGGTGGTTTCTAGAACACTCATTATACCCAAATTAATCCAATAACGGTACTTGGCACGACCTGGGACACGATTTAAACCCAGGACCAAATCATGATTCACAGTCGCGCTAGTAACCACATACAGAGAGACAAAATTATATACTTTCATGATATGTATTTAGTAAAAATCTGTTATTTTGACGTTACGAAAAGACACTTCAATTTTATTTATTCTAATAGTTTCGTATGCGTAAAGTATGAAAGTTTGTATGAAAAAATTCGAAAGTGATTACTATATTATTTTGATCTTGAGGCGTCAGAAAACTTGGCTGCACTTTTAATAATTCTCTTTTATAATTCAATACATGATTGTAGATATCAGTGTGATTTATACTGATGATGTAGTTAATTGAGAGTTATTAACAATTACTTTAAATAAAAGACAGGATTTTTAGTGTATGTATTTGGTTACAGTCGACAGCAAAGTATAGCCGAATTTAATCATAATGATTTGTTAGATTAAAACTATTTTTCTTTATTAATTTCAGTATCAGTTAATTTAATTTCGTCTATGTGGTTACCTTGCACTTTATTTAGAAAAACTAATATTTTTAGTAGCATCTTGTACGTACACAACATGATAAGATTTGCTCCAATTCAGCTTTAATGAGATGTGAAAAATGGTAATTTCTTTTGTTAGAATTCTCTGAACATAACAAACAATTTTTTATCGTGTTTAGACATAACTTCTAGTTAAACTTTACACCTCAGAAGTGGTCATTATTAATTTTGCAAAGACTGAGATAGAGGTTGGTCGTAATTACGAGCTTCTGAATTTAAAAAATCTGTTAATCTGCCTCACTTTAGTCCTAAAAAGAAGAAAAATACTATAACATATAATTTCATAAACTTTTAAAAATATTCTGTTCTGTTAAGAAAGTTCATCATTAATTGCGATATATTACTAAAAACTAATGACATTGAAATAAAGATGCATAGCGTAATTTTAATAGAATACGTTAAATATAATTAAAGTCAATTTAAATATATAACGTCAAATTAAACTTGATATCAAAACTTAATTTTAAAGTGAAGATAACGCATAATTAATTGAAACAGAATTTACATCTGTTATTTATAATACGATCGTTGCTGAAAGATGAAAAAATATGACGGAGTTACGTCACAAGGCAGTCGCGTTGATGCAATGAATATATCGTGCATGTGTCTAAAAACCTCGGGAATTAAACATTGGCAGCCGTACAAAGATGGATGCAAGCGGGGTAAGGGAGAGGGGGACATTACAAAACTTGGTTTTAACCGGTTAATTCTTACTACCTAAACCGAAATTTGTGAAAAACCGGTATTCCGCAAAAACCGGTTTTGGGGTCAATGACCGAAACCGGTTTAGAATTTGAACCGGTTTCCGAGCCCTGATGTAAAGGCTGTGTTCATAAATATTACATTGCATTAGGTGTTACCATATAAAAATAAAATACGATTTTCTTCAATCTGAGAGGTGGGAACTATAGCTCCCAGTGTTTTAATAAGGGATAATAAAGCGGAAGAGTTATTTTGTTTTTTTTTGTTTGTTTAAACACGCTAATCTCTGGAACTACCAGTTCAAATTTAAAATTTTTGTATATAATAGCCAGATTCATGAGGAATAGTATAGGCTATCTAGCATATAACTACCAGCTAACCTTATATATTGATTTTTATTAAGCAAGTGGGAAGAAAAGGCGCTCTCTAACTGCTTTATCCACGTGCGCTAGCGTAACATTTAGTATTACGTACAATGTTCTACAAAAATATTGGTCTTTGCTCCATCTAAAATACAGTCTGCGATATCATATGTCTGTGGCGGCGCTGTCGTCGCGCCACAAGCGAAACATCGAAGCCTAAATCGCACTAACAAAGTTCCAAACTAAAAGCAGCAGTGGTACGTGGTAGAGCCTTGCTGCAGCTATATTAATAGTATCTATGGTTGTAGCACGAATGGGTCGGCTCGACCGGGGAAGGACCACGCTCTCACAGAACACCAGCGTAATATCGCAGCTTAATGCTGCTGTGTTTCGTATGGTGAGTTGTAGTGTTATGCTACTTACATATCATTTTACATTATTTTAAATTCATTTTTCCATTCTGTTTCGATTTTCTGCATTCACCTCAAAACTAGATATTTTACATCACCTTTATTTCCATAGGATCCTGTAACGATTTTAAACCATAAGAACACAATAACAAATCATTTCTACTTCGTATTTTCACATTATCAGCACTTTTAAATTGGTGTCAATGGAGTCTACCTTTTTCGATCTTTTATTTAGTTCTCCGTAACTCTGCAATTTCGGACTTTGTGCGCGCAGTTGCGCTACCTTTTTTCCTAAATCAATAATATCTCATTTTTCACTTAAATCTTGCCGTTTTTCTATTACGAGCCTAAAACCAAAATTTGACATGTTTTCACATCGTTGTTATTTGGTTGTCATGACAATTATATTCAAATTTGCTACCGGTCTGTTGTTTCTATTTCGATAATTCTACATAAATACTCTTTCCTCTTGGCCATTTACAAAAAATTTGCGTTTAATTTAAATAATTTTTCCGTTCTCTCTAGAAAGATATAAAAGCGGAACAATCGGTGAAGAAATTGAGTCTCGCTTCATTTCTCGAGTTCGAAGCATCTCCTAAAGGCCTTATCCCGGGGCCGCACTGCCCCGGGATCCTGCAAGCCTCTGTCCTGCCTGATGCCGCTGGACCCTGCAAACCTCTGTTCTGCCTGAAGCCGCTGGATCCTACAAGCCTCTGCTCTGCCTGAAGTCGCCGAATCCTACAAGCCTCTGCTCTGCCTGAAGTCGCCGGATCCTGCAAGCCTCTGTCCTGCCTGAAGTCGCCGGATCCTGCAAACCTCAGTTCCGCCTGAAGTCGCCGGATCCTGCAGGCCTCTGTCCTGCCTGAAGTCGCTGAGGATCCTGCAAGCCCCTGTCTTGCCTGAAGTCGCCGGATCTTGCAAACCTCCGTGTTCACCTGAGGTCGTCGCCTAGAGACGCCCACACCTTCATCTACGCTGTGCGTGCTCGTTCCAGGCGCTGAGAGCACTTACTGTACACCTTGGATCTTCGGGCTCAACTTCAACACTAATCTTTTTTTTTTAAATAATTGTAAATCACGACATCCATCCTCATCTTCATACTCCATTTTGTTATATAAAATTGTAAGTATCTTTTAAATTTTAAATATATTATTTGTTTTTGTTCTATTTTTGTTGTTTTGTTGCTGTTAGGTTAGATTCTTTTGTATTTAATTGTCGCTTCACAACAGAGTGTAGAGAACCGGAGACCATTTTTACTGGAAAAGAGGCATTCCATCTTAGTCCTCACGGCTGACAACGCATCTGCATTTTAATTCGCAAACGAAGATAGATGTAGATGTCTATGGGCCACAGCAACCACTTACCATCAGGTGGACTGTGTGCTCGTTTGTCACCCTTATTCTATAAAAAAAAAAGCATATATAGAATAGCTCCGAACTACCAATCGGAGCGTTGGCCGCTCCCCGGGCAGAACACATTGCCCGGCGGGAGATCTACCCTTTTCCTTCCACCCGCCACATGCCTATTTCTTATACATAAGGCACAATAAGTTATTTTGTGAAAAAAATTATTGAAATTGGAAAAGTAATTTATGAGCGTTATTATTAGGCATGGCATATTAACCCTTACGAATGAAAGTTACTTCATCATCAAGACAATTTTATGAAGATAAATTTTGCTCTTTATAGCATGTTATTTGGACGCATAGGTTAAGAGATAATGAAAAATTAAAATAATGAACACTGCTCGGAGCGCGAACGACCGCATAAACCCTAGCCGCCCGATGAGATTCGAGAGAAACCAGCAGTGAACGCCTATATTGATCCTAGAGCTCATGACGCATTTTTTAAGAAGTGTTTGATGCATCATGAAACTTTGTCCATAATGCTTCTGGCCTACCCATTCAGTGTATTCACGTATACTGATTACATCAAAAGTGAGACATAGATTTAGATCAGGCTTCTTTTTTCTCATTTCTCTAATGGTGTTTAAAGATTATTGAGTGAAACCAGGCTCACAGTCTAGTCTTGCATACCAGGTACGCAATGTGTTAACGTGTGGAAGACACAAATCAAATTTTTCACGTAAATAATTATATGCTCTTGGAATATAGAAATGTATTGTGACAGCAAATTTTCGTAATTCTTCGTTATATTTGGATTCAGACACTATTTTACCACATTTTTTATCATTAAACCTGTTAATTAAATTCTGTATCAATTCATCGCTACATGCCATGGTGATATCGCTATAGTGATCTTTCAATCCTGCCGGGCTATTCACAATCGTCTCGGAAAGCGAATTCGACTCGGATTCGATAACTTCTCGCACCGAAACCAAGAAACGCTATTGACATTTAACGTTCGGATAAAGGTCACTTAGATACATCCCATAACTATTGTATCGTCATTTAGTTACATGCATTTACGAATTTTGTAGATAAATAGGCTTTTGTATTTTTTTAGAGTAACGCCTAAACAAAAACATAATGCAATATTTTGGTGTTAGCCATTGATATCGAATATAAAAAATATATAATTTAACTATATAATAAATAACAAAAAAACTGAGATATGTCTCGTTTCACAAAGCAGCATATATGTATATTTGTGATATAAAAACTAAAAAAAAAAACAAACAAAATTTTCAATTTTCAATTTTTTTAACTACTTATAAAAACACACCTTTCACAAAAATTCATCTTTACGATTAAGTGCAAATATTGTAGTAATTATATGAAAATACGTCTTATAGATAATTGTAATTAATTTTTGTTACCTACCTTATAATTAAAAGGGTTTATTTATCTCTTCTAATCATCAATATTCGAAAAGTTTTCGCCAGCCTCAGAGCTCTCGTAAAGTTTCCGATGCAAACTGTCACAATTATCGAAAACAAACGTCAAAGAAGTACGGTCACGCCCCATAGAAAAAAACCCAGACCCGACAGAAACGAGACATATCTCAGTTTTTTTGTTATTTATTATATAGTTAAATTATATATTTTTTATATTCGATATCAATGGCTAACTCCAAAATATTGCATTATGATTTTGTTCAGGCGTTACTCTAAAAAAATACAAAAGCCTATTTATCTACAAAATTCGTAAATGCATGTAACTAAATGACGATACAATAGTTATAGGATGTATCTAAGTGACCTTTATCCGAACGTTAAATGTGAATAGCGTTTATAGGTTTCGGTGCGAGAAGTTATCGAATCCGAGTCGATTTCGCTTTCCGAGACGATTGTGAATAGCCCTGCTGGTCTTGAATGAATTTCTTCAAGCACGTTTGCAATGTAACAATTTTTTTAGCCTGTCTTTTAGTTTTTTGCTGCTAAGCTACGTATTTTCTTTTGTTTTTCTTTCAGCTTTTGTTTTAAGTTCTCGATTTTTGATAAAAGTTTTTTTTTCTTGGTGTAAATTGATCACTTCTTTCTTGTGATTTCAAAGGTGGAAGGGTTATGTCACGAGTGACATATGATGAGGCTACTCTTTCTTTCATCTGTCCCTGAAAAATATAAAGTAATAATAAATTTATTATCATTTTAGCTGCATGAATTTAAAAAATATAATGATCTTAACATAGACAAGTCAAATACGCTGAAGACATTAAAGTGCACCAAGTGTCCGAGGATACAGATGCACTCTTCTATTCTCTCAATCGCAGCATGTTAAGAAAATGGTCACCCACACATGGACCGACCGCAGCAAGTGCACCTTTATCTTGCAGATCTATTGATCTACGCAACTGTTACTTAACTACGAGTTCCTCTTATCTACGAGTAACGCAGTAGGCAATGAACCACACTATCAAGCCCTCGGCACACTGTCATCGAGCATCAAGCATGAATCGGACATCAAGCGTTACGCGTATCAAATACTGGAATTTATACTATCCTGGTACACTAAATCGCGTGCTTCATGGCATCTAGTGGCGCTTCAGGAGCATTACTCAATAACCATACCTAACTACGCTAAAAATTTTATCATTGTGACTTAGGAATATATTCCAAAGCTCCGTACAACCCCTTGGGGAAAATATATAATAACAGAGATAGAGTTTTATAATGTAGGTATAAAAATCTATCTCTATTTTTACCTAAAGTTTATGAAGTTAAATTTTTATACCAGCGTAAAATAGCAGTTTAACACTGCTGTGTTTCGTATGGTAAGTGTAGAGAACCGGAGACCCATTTTACTGGAAAAGAGGTATTCCATCTTAGTCCTCACGGGTGAAAACGCATCTGCATTTTGATTTGCAAACGAGGATAGATGTAGATGTCCATAGGCCACAGCAACCACTTACCATCAGGTGGACTGTGTGCTCGTTTGTCACCCCATCCTATAAAAAAAAAGAAGTTTTATTGTAACAAAAATATAAGTACTGGTACAAATAATGTAGGAATGGCTCCTTTTAATAAAGTTGTATTTACTCTGCTTTTTCTTATATATTTCTCAATAAAATGTTAACTACAAAACTGTAGAGTTCTAAGGATTCCAACCAATCCGCCCAATTAATGCCAACAATTCTTTTCTAACTAAAGGATCCAGAGGGAATCTGACAAACTGCAAAATAAAATTTTGTTTTTAGAACGCAAATCGAGCATTTAATTTCATTCTTCTTTTTGTTGTGTATAAAAGTCTATCGATTCTTTATACACATTAAAGATTAATATCGACATTAATTTTGATATAGTTTTTGATGAGTCAATCCCTAGCGTAAATGTAAAATATTTTGTTTAAAAATGAATTCACCAAATCATACAAATTATCAACAATGTGACTTTTTTCTTTGCAAAATATCAAAATTAATAAAATAATTGAAAATATTACATATTTTAAACAGTATATAACATAAATTTTAAGCAAAAATAGACGTCTTATTATTGACGACGTCTTGCGAATTTACCTGTGAAATGTGCAACCATCAGGATTACTACTATTGTTGATACCACAGTCACTAACGGAACATGAAATCATTTTGGAAAACTATAAATTATACAAATTAACACTATTATAATCTAAAAACACACAAAATGTATTACAAAAAGTGATTTGCAAAGGCATATGAAAATACATACTGGAGAAAAACCTTTTTCGTGTCATATCTGTAAATATCAATGTATTCGAAAAAGTAGTTTGCAAACACATATGAAATACATACTGGAGAAAAACCTTTTTCATATAATATCTGTGAATATAAATGTATTTGAAAAAGTAATTTGCAAAGGCATATGAAAATACATACTGGAGAAAAACCTTTTTCGTGTCATATCTGTAAATATATAAGTATTCAAAAAAGTAATTTGCAAACACATATGAAAATACATACTGGAGAAAAACCTTTTTCGTGTCATATCTGTAAATATCAATGTATTATAAAAAGTGCTTTGCGAAAGGCATATGAAAATACATACTGGAGAAAAACCTTTTTCGTGTCTTATCTGTGAATATAAATGTATTATAAAAAGTGCTTTGCGAAAGGCATATGAAAATACATACTGGAGAAAAACCTGTTTCGTGTAATATCTGTGAATATAAATTTATAGAAAAAAGTAACTTGCAAAGGCATATGAAAATGCATACTGGAGAAAAACCTTTTTCGTGTCATATCTGTAAATATCAATGTATTCGAAAAAGTAGTTTGCAAACACATATGAAAATACATACTGGAGAAAAACCTTTTTCATGTAATATCTGTGAATATAAATGTATAGAAAAAAGTAGTTTGCAAAGGCATATGAAAATACATACTGGAGAAAAACCTTTTTTATGTAATATCTGTAAATATCAATGTATTACAAAAAGTGATTTGCAAAGGCATATGAAAATACATACTGGAGAAAAACCTTTTTCGTGTCATATCTATAAATATCAATGTATTCAAAAAAGTAATTTGCAAACACATATGAAAATACATACTGGAGAAAAACCTTTTTCGTGTCATATCTGTAAATATCAATGTATTCACAAAAGTAATTTATGGTATCATATGAAAATACATACTGGAGAAAAACCTGTTTCGTGTAATATCTGTGAATATAAATTTATAGAAAAAAGTAACTTGCAAAGGCATATGAAAATGCATACTGGAGAAAAACCTTTTTCGTGTCATATCTGTAAATATCAATGTATTCGAAAAAGTAGTTTGCAAACACATAT